CAGTTATTTTGTAACGTCCCTAGGGTCGTTGCAAACAAACTGATCGTTCAGGGAGGTTACAACCACCCTAGGGTCGTTGCAAACTAACTGAAATCGCATACTCCCTGTAACATATACACATTTCACGTGCATCGCTAATCTTTTCGCTAATACAGATCCTGGTCTATTTTGTCTTGCTTAGCAAACCTCAGCTGTCTTGTAAAATTTTCACGACGCATTCATACATTACACTTTAGAGGCAGATAAATCCGATATTCCTGTTTTCTGCGTGGCTCTGTGAGGTCGGTCCCTGCCATGGATGGTGTGAGACCATCCATGCTGCCGATCGTACGACGCGCTAGTTTTATTGGGGGTTATATGACCGAAGGACATCGACGGCCGACGGAACTGCCTCGCCTGGCGGGGTCACCAAAGTGGAACACGCTGCCGGTTTTTTCGAAGTAACACTGGAGATTTGCTAGACAAAGTTAGACTAAGTGAAATTAATGTACTTAGCCATATGAAAGGAAATGTTTGACAGAAAGTAAGCGGCCATTTTGTCGCTGCTGGAGACAACTGCCGGAAAACTAACTGCATTCCCGCAACATCCAATTACTCATCGATACGTACCTATGAAATGAAGCAAGACAGATTACCATATTATTTTTCTTAGGATGTCGGAATATAACAACATGTTAAAATACCAAAAAGGTGCAATATCCTTGTTTATAACACAGCCTTTGTTCCGACTTCCGAGTCTGTGCCTTTGGATGGATCTCATGTGCTTAAAATCTTTAGAAAAATGCACTAAGTATCCATTTGAATTATTACTTATGCCAACATGAATGGTAGAAGAATAATCAATTGTAATTTGTTGTCAAGTCTAGATGTGTTTTCTCCATTGTCAATGACTGATTTCTTCTTGCTGAGTAATGTTTTGCAACCTATTAATTTCTATGCCAGTGGTGGCTCAAATATTGCTGTTATAGGCATAGCTATGCAATGTGTAATCTTATATTGTTTAAATAAAGTTAGGCAAATTCAACTGAAATCATGACTGTAATATTTGAAATATGTCATCTGATTGATTGACCTTCATCATACCAACATATAGCCTGGGCAAGGATTATGTCAAAAATGGCAAGGCAAGAGGAAAAAAAGAACAAGTCAGATTGTATTGCCACTCCTTTAGTCAGAGAATGAGGACAAGTTATAAGCAAAAAGCACAGATCACCTTGAAATCTTGAAATCAATATCAAAGCCTACCTACCTGACAACTTGTATGGTCTCCCTCTTTTTAAAGTAATGCAATGCATTAGGTAGGTACATTGCTAGGTGTGAAATTTATGGAGAACTTCACAAACCCCATTACAAATCAGTTTTATAAGCATATGCTTCAAATTGCTATGCTTCCCACACTAGCTGAAAGGTTTTTGAGCAAACTCATGAGCAAACTCCATGCCAGCATATCTTGTTATTGAGTAAACATGTTGACTACTTAACTGACCATTCCTTTTTCTATAATCATATTAATTACAATTCTACACAGATCTGTAGACAATTCATGACACATTTTCCACCCACAAAATTATTATATACACAACTGAACACAAAGCCTATGTTTAAAATAATCACATATCTGTTGCATTTTTGCTGTATAGGTATTAGGTACCTGTCTATAAAACATGAATGATTTGATGTTGTGAGCCTTGTGCCCAGATGAATGTTTGTGGTATTGGTGTTACAACAAGGAAATTGAAAATTTGTCATGCAGTTTAGGGAACTTACACATAGGTAATGTTCAAAATGTAGTGAGATGCCTTCAATTACTAAATCTCCATTACATTGAAGAGCCATATATTCTTTTGAAGGACATTATTAGGTACATATTTACATTAGAGCTAGGTAGGTAGTTACCTGCATGTTAGCATCTTTTAATGTTGTTCTTTATCAATCAAAATGAATGGAAATTTAAAAAAAATAAGTAGAACTGATCAGATAGGATAGGTAAAGGAATTTCACAATTCATTTGACTTTCAGTTTCAGTTCTCATCAAGCCAATTATAGGTTGGGTACCTACCTACTTACCAGCACCTCCATAATCGCTCCCCAAAATGCCCCCTGCCACGAACCTCTTATGAAGAGTTTATAGAAGTGCAGGCTGCAGATTTCCGGCCCATGCAGAGTTTTCATTTCTTTGGCAATTCCTTAACTCCACTTGGAGCTCACAACCATTACCACACCATCACATCACAAAATTTAACCTTCGCCCCAGTGGGGGGGGGGCATATGTTACCACCCTGTCGCGTTTTTTGCGTGTGAATAAAAAACCGCGGCGCGTAGCGCCGCGCCGCTTGGGGTAGCTTTTGGTACATCAATTTTGGACAATGTGTGAAATTTTTGACCCCAGGTCATGTCAGGTCAGGTCACCAGGTCAAGTTAACTGACCAAGCCTAAAAAAGTTTGCAATCATGTCCAGCCTGCAGTTTTTGTCAGAAAGGTTTTAAACTTGGTGGATTGCATGCTGCTATGGGCGCCTACAATTTGTATATCTCGGATTTTTTATATCCGTGACCTAAGGTCAGGTCAGTGGCGTGACCTTTCCATTACAAGTCAATGGAGAAAAATGAAAATGCCTCTAGATCCGTGTGTACGCATCGGAACAGTCCAAATATTTCAGAATCGCAATGATTTAGTCCACTCGTAATGACCAAGGTGTCATTTTTGCTGATAGCCTCTAGACAGGTCATCCGAGGTCACTTGAGGCTACAAACAGTTTTTTGCCAATAACTCGCGATTGGAAAGAGATAGAACGCTGGGGATGGTCTCATTGTGTTTGTCTTGTTGAGACGCATCGACTGTTATGCAACATGATCTTTTCCGGTAAGGTCATGACCTTGACCTGAGGTCAAATTTTCAAGTTGACCTTTCAGGGTCAAATTATAGTTCATTCGACGCGTCTCGGCGAGGGGAACACGATTCTGACAATAGAAATGTCGTGGCTTTTTGTAGTCGAAAGTTATTGTCGAAAAACACTTTTCGTAAAAACAGCTATTTTTGGAGTTTTTGCCCTCTGGAGGCTAAACTGTTGACCTGAGGTTAATATTGATAATGACCTTTTCAAAAGAAAAGTTCAAAAACTATCGTTTGTTGTTCCATGCGTTTTTCTAGCTACCATAGTTCCTGAGATAGCGGCATGTTTTCTGAAAAATATAATGACAATTTGCAAATTTTGACCTTTGATGACCTCTGGTGACCCCAATATTGCTCTAAGGTGAAAAATGACCGAAATACTTTCAAACGTACGCATTGAGAGCTATCGACTGCTTTTTACCGCGTCTTTCTAGCCTTCTTAGTTTTTGAGTTAGAGGTGGGTGGTAACATATGCCCCCCCTCACTAGGGCGAAGTTGGCTGAGACCGCCACTGGGGCGCGGGATAATGTGAAAGTCCTTATAACACTTTGCTTACACTGCACAAGACACACATCCACAGCACAGTACAGCAACTGAAGCGAGCTGTTCACTGTTACAATTATCTTTCAAATCAACTGACACCAATAGCTGGTTACCACGCAACGCGCTAGCAAATGGCGTCAGCTTGTCCCACGAATGGCGGTTGCTATGGAAACCAGCTGACGAAACTTTACCAGAACCCATTTTCGAACAGGAGCTTTGTTAAGGCGCCCCAAGAATTTGTGCGCCGTTTTTCGAAACATGCCCACCACTTTCGCAGTTTTTCATCCTACATTTTACCTACACGGTGTCTCATGAGACACAATGTTAATCCAATGGGAACTGTCTCGTGGGTGTCTCATGGAGGAGATTTGTAGGAACTGTTTTTGAAGACACGTAAAGAAATGTAATGACCAAATGCCGTTGACAGCTGATTGTACCGACCAATTGCTACCAGTTAGCTGTTTTTATAGTCATTTTTGTACAGAAAACACAAACTGAAATCTGTCTCGCGGCTACCCTCTTCGGCTCTTCCCTGTCTCCTACATTGTAGGCAAGTAGGAAGGTTTGTGCACCTCTGCTTTCAGTGTTCGTTTTTATTTACTTCATAGCGGGTGTGGTCAAAGAGACGAGGCGGACATATTCAACACGCGGTGGGAGACTAAACGGTTTAAAGACGGTCCGTAAGATCGTGTAACGCGGTATGTTCACACTGCTCAGAAATGAGGTGCGGATTGTGCCTTTAAACAGGGCAGGTAGTAGGATTTTGGTGGCTCTGACCCAATTCCCCCAAAATAAACATATGAACCACTAAACGACAGTTTCTTCCTACAGCGCGTCTGTCGACGGCCGGACGCAGCACGGCAGTACTGCGGCACAGCCTACCTCTCCGTGTACTGCGGCACAGTATAACTACCCTCTGTATTGCGGCACAGCCTACCAGCTCTCCGTGTACTGCGGCACAGTATAACTACCCTCTGTATTGCGGCACAGCCTACCAGCTCTCCGTGTACTGCGGTACCGTTCATCTTAGTTTGCTGGACGCTGGTGTTTTGACCCGCGCCCCGTAGGGCTATCTATTACGCTCCCGATGAGCTAACCACTCGGCTGCGGCAGCCATTTGAGCTCCTTGAGTTCCTTCAATGTTGTTAAATTAGAACCTAGCCTCAATAGATGCAAGACATGACGCCACCCTGTCACGCAAGGAGCACGCTTTTGGTCGGCCGATTCGTGTAATACTGTCGGTACTGAATACGCCCAGGGTACATATTTCCGAGTGCGTGTGTCTAAGGGTGCAAAAGAAGCTTAGCAAATCGCCATTTGCGTAGATGGCGTAAATGGCGAAATATTTGCCAAATAGGTATGACAAATATGTGACGAACTTACATGGCAAATATGCTAAACATTTGACATAATTGTGAAGGAGTACTATGTTCTGGCTGAAAATGCTACTAAAAACGCAATATATGAAGACGTCGCCCTTTCCATTGCAACGTAACTGCTTGTTACCTGTATAAGGTATGTCTTCAATGAACGAACTGAAGATTTTAGGAAGGAATAACAGGGGCTTCCTTTCCAAAAGTGTATTTCAGCCAAGACTCTGTGACGTCATCTGTGCACTCATTACGTCATAGTTACCTCGTGACGTCACTATATAGCAGGAAATCCGTGCTGGAATTGAGACAGATTGAACAGCTGTGAAGACGCCCGACATTTAGATATACAGAAATGAGACGCAATGAGACAAAAACAAAACACGGCATATTTAGACGGCCGAAGCAAGTGACATACGGCAGACTAGAGCATGTCACTATAAGCATATGTCCGTAACGCCAAAATATTGCACAATTGTACTGCGTGCGCCCAGTGTAGCATAGGCATACGTGAATCTTATATACGACGGTATATCCTATACAAGCGATATATTTGATACGCATTGCACTCGCCTTATGAGATAGAACTCTAAATTTTCGCGGCTAGCTACAGTCAGCATTTATAACCCGAAGCAAATCTAGCTTAGAGGCACGCAGTTGTACGGCAAACCAAGAAGCTATGCTAAATCACCAACACCTCTCTGTTTCACGGGATAATTTGACAAACAATGGCCTCAACATGGGCTCAGAGTCACGCCTATAGCGCCACGGCAAACAGCTCGCGTCTTGAAGGCACACCCGGCTGTGATGTCACGTGCCGTATCGTCGATAGTCCCCAGAGTGTCCACGGGGGCGCCGTGTGTGAGCTGGACGGTCTCACCGGGCGGGGCCGCGCTTCCCGAGCGAGTATCTCACCGCAGGATACAACTCCACTCTGGGGAGTTTCACACTCAGCCATACCGCCGTGTGTAACTCTGACCGAGACACTCTCTCACTCTCATGGTAGATCACTCGCAGGCTGATACACATTCCGTGACCGAAACTTTAACCGTGAGTGAGTTATCGTGACTAGTGCTGTTCAAAAGCTGATCACACAGTTCACACCATGCGGGTTATATGTAAACCATGGTCCCTTCACGGCACTCCATGGACGCTTTTCTCCACATCATAGCTTCCATTCCAAGTTTCTGTCGGTCCCTTCCCATTCCAGTCTAACGTTCATTTCACACACTGCTCGCCTCTCCATTCCACATGTTCCACACTCCACATCGTGTTCCACAACTGCGTCCACTCCACTCGGATAGGCCAACTGATGACTTCTGCCAGTCTCTCTCACATTACACGCCAAAATCAAACCTGACTTCATCGATCCACCATTGGACTGCTCACTAGCGCGATACCGTTAACAACCGATACACAATCCCACTCTCGAACGGGAGACGAATGTGCACGGTGATATAACGCATATCGCACACCTTTCTCAGCGATTTTTCGCTATTGCACTTGGAATATTTGATCACAAAAACGCGCATCGATTTTTTTATTCGCTGACCACCAAATATTGGCGATTATAAAAACTAAACTAATATATCGTTTCGCCGAGTCCATGAGATCGTTCAAAAATACTACAGCTTAATTAGTTCTGTCCTAGGCCATTTTGTGTTTATGTCACCGAGATCTCAAGCAATTTGCCACAAACCGCGTGGAAATTAGGCACAATGCGCCGATTCCTTGGCGATGTTTTCACAAACCGCCTCGATTTAGGACAGGCTCCCGATAAGATCTTGACAGACTTTTCCGACAAACCGCCTAGATTTTTTGGCAGCTCCTCTCACAAACCGCCTAGATTTTCGGCAGTTTCGGCGCCAAGATGAGTGGGTTCGCTCTCTCCAGGATCCTCCTGCCCTCTGTCTTAAAGTCATGTCCACACTGATGTGCCTCCGGGTATCTATGCTGAGCGCAGAACACCCCAGCACAGTGACAGGTGTGAACAGACGCCAAACCTAGTCTTTTCCGACACAGCTGACACCTGGGCCGTTTTGGTCTAGGCGGAGCGTTCGGCGCAGTCTGCTGTGTTGTTCGTATCGGTGAGTTCTTTGTCTCGTTTGGAGTTCTCGACGCGTTAGCCCTGGCGCTGAGTATGCGACACAGCTGCCTGGCTCGGCCGTCTGTCGGTCGTAGACTCAGCGCCGGACTGATGGGTCGCGATGTGTCGTCTTTGGAGAGATACAGGGGAGAGGTGCGCGGTCGCTGACCCCCCGCAGAGACGATCAGGCGACGCTCCGGGGGGACCCCTGAGGGGGGGGGGGGGGGTAGGGGGTAGACAGTCAGAGGTAGACGAACATCATGCGAGGCCCGGTACAATATTATCAAACTACCAAGGACAAGTCATGACGGCAAACACTTGACGGTGCTGTCATGAAGTTAGAGTTTGACTCATTGACACAAATTAACAATCAATGCATTCACGGCACCCCAAAGACCAATGCGTAATACTCCTGAGCTATGCAAGAAACTTAACGAAACCATAACCCGAACGAACGATGGCTGTAAATACCTAATCCATGGCTGTAATTAGCCCTCTCCCCCTCTTTCTCTCGCTCTCGCTCTCTCTCTCTCTCTCTCTCTCTCTCTCTCTCTCTCTCTCTCTATCCCTCCCTCCCTCCCTCTCTCTCTCTCTCTCTCTCTTCATCTCTCTCTCTCTCTCTCTCTCTCTCTCCCTCTCTCTCTCTCTCTTTATCCCTCCCTCTCTCTCTCTCTCTCTTCCTCTCTCTCTCTCTCTCTCTCTCTCTCTCTCTCTCTCTCTCTCTCTCTCTCTCTCTCACCTCTCCTCTCGTCCGTTTCAAACAGCACCGGCAGCTCTGCGGCGCCCGGTGACGGCGGCTCGGCCGCCTCGGACGGCTGACTCGGTCTTCGCGCCAATTTGGAGAGTGTCCTCCGGTACGCGCCATAATCGCGGCCGGAGCTGGCGCCACCTGCCGGCCTCTCGGTGGTACCGCGGGAGGCCGCCAGGCGGCGCTGTGTCTGCATCTGCGGAGAACGGTGCAGTCATCGAACGGTTTCAGGATATCCCGGGAGATGCTCTTCACCAGCACAGGGACTAGGCTGGAGGCCACTTCCTGGTCTAACTACGGCAGCAGGTTCCCCTTCTTGTGAAAAACCTAAATATAGGAACCTCAGCTGATTAAAGGTAGTGAGCCACCCTCCAATGATTTCCCATTTTATTTTTCCTAGGATAAGAAGCTTCTGTTTTTACCTAATATCGCAAAAAATCAAAAAATGGGCCTTAAATGGTGCTTTTTCGCCTAAAAGTTTATCGTTTTTTTTGATATGTATAACAACTGTAGTGGGCTGACCTGCAAACAGGCGTCGGCAACAATCGCAAATGCGGCGCACATGTGACAATAAGCAAAGGTCATTATAGAGTTACGACGTACGTGAATCAGTGGCGCAGCCAGGGTGGGGTCAGAGGGTCAGCTGACCCCCCCGAAATTTCTGTTAGGGGCCCGCTCTGGTCTGAAACCTTCGATGAAAAATTATGCATCGCGAGGGAGAGAGAGAGAGAGAGAGAGAGAGAGAGAGAGAGAGAGGAGAGAGAGAGAGAGAGAGAGAGAGAGAGAGAGAGAGAGAGAGAGAGAGAGAGAGGGGCCTAATCTCCTCGGATCCGAGCCCGCTTCGATAAATGCCTACTGGGACACGGGTGAGGGGCCCGACCCCAGGTGGACAGGGCCCGGGCCCCGGGTGGATAGGCCCGGGCCCCCGGATGGACGAGGCCAGGGCCCCCGGGTGGATGGGGCCCGGGCCTCCTGTTGGACGGGGCCCGGGCCCCCGGGTGGACGTGGCCCGGGCCCCCGGGTAAACGGGACACGGGCCCCGGGTGAATAAGGCCCGGGCCCCCGGATGGAGGGGACCCGGGCTCCGGGTGGATGGGCCCGGGCCCCCGGGTAAACGGGACACGGGCCCCGGGTGAATAAGGCCCGGGCCCCCGGGTGGACGGGGCCCGAGCTCCGGGTAGATGGGCCCGGGCCCCCGGGTAGATGGGCCCGGGCCCCCGGGTGGATGGGTCCGGGACCCCGGTTGGACGGGGACCGGACCCCCGGATAGACGGGGCCCGGGCCCCCGGGTGGATGGGGGCCGGGCCACCGGGTGATGGAGCCCGGACCTGAGACCCTCAGGGTCCTAAGCACAGGGGCCCAGTTCTCTGAAGTGACTAGGTACTGAGCTGGCAATGTTTGAAAGGGCCCGGCTCTAAGAAATTGTGAGGAACAGGGGTCCGGTTGAAACAGGGCACGGATCTGACAAATGTAAGAATACAAAGGCCTGGTTAACCCTATTCCTGGCGGGGGGGGGGGCCTCAGGAGCCCCCCCCCCTGAGGTTTTTTGGTTATTTCTCCCAAACGCGTTGAGCTAGGAAGCTCAAATTTTCTGACTTTTCCTAAAAGGCTTCTACGCAACATGTCTGAAAATTTTGAGTTGATCTGACCTCAGGTCAGGTCACCAGAGGCGGTTTGGTGACCCTACCTCAGAAAAGTTTGCAATCACGCCAGAGCTAGAGTTTTTGACCGATCGATTTCTTCTCTTCAGGGTTTAGTTAGGGTACCAGTATGTGCAATTTGTATATCTCGGAATTTTGATATCGGTGACCTAAGGTCAGGTCAATTTCGCGACCTCCCCATTATAAGTCAATGGGGGAAATATCAACTCCCTGTTTTTTACCACTAAAACGGGTCGGAATGGCCCCATATACCATACATGACTTCATATACGATCAACCTTCACTACCTTGAGGTCTGTTTTGCTGTTGGGCAGCTGTGAGGTCATGTGACGTCATCAAAGGTCACCAAAGGTTTTTGGCCAATAACTCCGTACAGGAACAAGATACAGACGCGTGGATGGTCTCATTGTGTTCAGCTCGTCAAGACGCATCGAATGATATACATGATGACCTCGAGGTCACGTGACCTGAGGTCAACCTTTGACCTTGACCTTTCGAGGTCAACATATATATCATTCGATGCGGATTGACGAGAGGATCACGATGATGCCCTTAGTTTGTTCCTATCTTGACTAATTCGAAAGTTATTCGAGAAACACTCTCTCCATATCTAGCGCCGCCATTTTGACTTTTTCGACCCCTGTGACGTCATCTTTGACCTGACCTGAAAATGACCTAAGTAAAAATTGTAGATCTTGGCCGTGCGTATCCGATGCCGTTTACCGCTTGTCGCTATCTTGCTTCGTTCTCGAGATCTCAGGGGGGGCCGAATCGGCCCCCCCCGCCAGTTTCTTGTCCCGGCGGAGCCCGCCAGGAATAGGGTTAAACAGGGCGGCTGGTTTTTAGAGATACCTTGACACAGACCTGATAAACAGGGGCCAGATCTAACTAACTCGTGGTTTTTGGGCCTCCTCGAAAGGGGCGCGGATGTACCAAACTCTTACCAGAGGGGGATATGGGAATAGGGTTCAGCTCAATTCTGCTAACACCTCAGTCACAAGGGCCCGGTCTGACGGGCGGGCCCCTACCGAGACCACCCGGGGCCCGGGCCCCTGGTGGACGCGGCCCAGTTCTCAGGCCAAAAATCTACGCAAGGCGCCCGGTCGGACGGGGCTCAGTTCTCCGAAATGTCTAGGCACAGCGCCCCAGTTGAAAAGGGATCAGTTGTAAGAAATGGTTAGGAACAGGACAGGGGTCCGGCTAAAACAAGACCTAGCTCTGAAAAAATGCGCGAACTTGAGGGCTTAACCCTATTCCTGGCGGGGGGGCCTCAGGAGCCCCCACTGAGGTTTTTTGGTTATTTCTCCCAAAAGCTTTGAGCTAGGAAGCTCAAATTTTCTGACTTTTCCTAAAAGGCTTTTACGCAACATTTCTGAAAATTTTGAGTTGATCTGACCTCAGGTCAGGTCACCAGAGGCGGTTTGGTGACCCTACCTCAGAAAAGTTTGCAATCACGCCAGAGCTAGAGTTTTGACCGATCAATTTCTTCTCTTCAGGCTTTAGTTAGGGTACCAGTATATGCAATTTGTATATCTCAGAATCTTCATATCTGTGACCTGAGGTCAGGCCAGTCGTGATCTTTACATTGCAAGCCTATGGGAAAATATTGAAACGCCTCCTGCTTCGTGTAAACGAGTGAAAACCACCCAATTCTTTCAGTATTATGGAAGATTATCTCACCGATGATGATCCTGGTGCCGCTAATTGACAGGGGCACCGGCAAAGGTCATCTGAGGTCATGTGACGTCATAAATCGTTTTTCTGTCAATAAATCACGACATGATGGTGCTAAAGACTTGTAAGTGGTACCAAACTGCTCGCTGGTCAAGGCGCGTCGTTGGTTGCAGATGACCATACCCCAGGCCCACAACCTCATTGATGAATGAGCTGACCTGACTGAGGTCAAATTTCAAAATTGACCTGTGAAGGTCATCACATACTTATTTCGCATCGCCTCGGCGAGAGCAACAAAAAATGTACGGTTTTTATGTCTCTATGTTTCTTAGTTTAAAAGTGTTATAGGTAACTAATTCCAAAACATTTTATCGTTGATAACCTCTGGTGACCTCAATATTGACCTGACCTGAAAATGTTTTATGTAAAAGTTGTAGATCTTTAAACGACCTATCAAATGCGTTTCGTCGTTGTCGGTGCGATGTGTAGTTTTTTAGATCTGAAGGTGGGCCGAATCGGCCCCCCCCCGCCAGTTTCTTGTCCCGGCGGAGCCCGCCAGGAAAGGGTAACGGGACCCGGTTCCTAGAAATGCTTGGACACAGAGACCCTGCAAACACGGGCCAATTTTAAGAAGTTCGTAGATTTT